GAGCATCTGTGCTTTATCTTGGTTTACTCTGTGCCTCTGTTAATAAGATGTGTCCTAAGGTATCAAAAAAGCCTGAGAGAGCTCGTAAGGGTGTTATACTTAGTGTAAAACCGGATGTAATTGTTTCAGTCGTGGTGAAGGAAATAAAGACATTGTGCATGTGTTGAACTTGCCTGCACCCATCTTTCATACTATTTACACGCTGAGAGAATCTTGAGTACTGCCGAAGTTACTACTGGTTCTGCTAGTAGCAAAAAAACAAACAAACCTATTGCCGTCGAGTTGATTCCGACTCATAGCGACCCTGTAGAACAGAGTAGAACTGCCTTGTATGATTTCCAAGGAGCAGCTGGTGAATTTGAATTGCCAACCTTTTGGTTAGCAGCCATAGCTCTTAACCACTGAGCCACCAGGGCTCTGCTAGTAGCAAAGTGGTCTCGTTTAGTTGGCATTCAGTAATGGATAAAATTGAGCCCTGGTGGCGTAGTGGTTAAGCAGTCAGCTGCTAACTGAAAGGTCAGCAGTGGGTAAAAGATGTGGCAGTCTACTTCCATAAAGATCACAGCCCTGGAAACCCTGTGAGGCAGTTCCCCCCTGTCCTATAGGGTCTCTATGAGTTGGAATCAATGGGTTTGGTTTTGGAGGATCAGACAGGGTCTGAGTATCCTAACTACTCTGTATGCCAGATCAAGTGCCCACCTGGATGCACTGGGTATGGAGTGTGGGGGTGGAGGAGTGAGGAGGTAGGAGGCTGGACTTGGGGGCAAGGCCTTGAAGGCCCCAGTGAGGTACCTGGGCTTTTTCCCAAGGGCACGGGGGAGCCATTGCAGGTTCTGAGCAGAGTAAGGACAGGGACAGGTTTATGCCTTAACAAGACCCCTCTGGTTATCATGTGCAGGATGGTTGGAAGCAGGCAAAACTGGGGCAGGGTGGTGGGAAGACGAGGAGATGCCTAGACAGGAGCCTGTGGAGCCATCTGTGGGTGTCTCTTGAATCCAGCCTGTCATTTAAAGGATCTGGACCAGTGCTGTTCAATATAATGCAAGCCATATATGTGATTTTAAATTGTCTAGTTGTTGTTTGCCATGGAGTCTGTTCTGACTCGTGGCAACCCCATGTGTGCAGAGTAGAACTGCTCCACAGGGTTTTCAAGGCTGTGACCTTTCAGAAGCAAATCGCCAGGCCTTCCCAGGAGCCTCTGTGTGGGTTTGAACTGCCAACCTTCCAGTTAGTAGCCCAGCACTTAACCATTTGCACCACCCAGAGACTCCTAAATATTCTAGTAAACGATTACCTGATTTAGACTCAGGACGACCCCATAGAACAGAGTAGAACTGTCCCATAAGGTTTCCTAGGCTGTGATCTTTACGGGAGCTCCCGTAGGGCAGGTTAAGCGTTTAACCACTGTGCCACTCCCAAAACCCATTGCGGTGGAGTCTGTTCCAACTCATTACAACTCTACAGGACAGAGTAGAACTGCCCTATAGGGCTTCCAAGGCTGTAATCTTTTAGAAGCCGACTGCCACATCTTTCTTCCACAGAGCGGCTGGTGGTTCTAGCTGGTGAATTCAGACTGCCAGCCTTTTGGTTAGCAGCCGAGCTCCTGACCCGTAGCGCCGCCAATACGCAAATACTGTAGTAACCACATTAAAAAGGTAAAAAAGAAACGATGAAGGTAACTTTTTTATATTTTTATTTCATCCAGTTATAACCAAAATATCATTTTAACATACAATCACAATTTTATAATCATAACTGAGCTGTTTCATTTCAGTCTTTTCTTGTACTAGGTCTCTGAGTCAGGTTTGGGGCACCGGGTTGCAAAGGCTGAACTGAGCGGTCAGCTGTGGCCTTACGGCCTGAGCCTTGAATGCCAAGCACAGTGCCGGGGGAGCTGTTATGGGGTCCTGCCTGTTTTTTTTCCCGAGTGAGGTGGTCCTGGTGCCCAGTTTCCTCCTGGGGAAACGTTGGGAAACGTTGGGAAACGTCCGCCTCCTCGGTTGCCAACCGAAAAGCTGGGCACTTCCGATCTGACCGCCTGCTTCCTTCGCCCTGGAGTTTTCAATCCCGGGCTGCCTGGCCCTTTAAACTCCGATTGTCAATCAGGGCTCCTGTTTCGAGGGATCGTCCTCTAATTAGCGTCTCCTGAATGCTGTGGCCTCTGCCCTGGCCTTATTCTTTCATGCAGCAGGAAGTTGGGAATTGTTTCATACTCCCTTACTTCCACACCCCACCCCACCCCCTTCACTTACCGCCTGCACTCCTTCCTCTCCCACAGTTGGGCCTCGTCGCCAAGGCATTCCTTATATGGGCACCGCCCCGAAGCGGGGTCGGTCATTGGCTGGGGGTGTCACGCGCGCGTCTGTCAACAAAGGGGCGGAGGGAAGCTAGTTGGCCCGCGCCGGGGCTGGAGGGTGTGAGCAGGGGGCGGGGCTTCGCCCCCTCACCCTGGCGCGCATGCGTGATTGCCGCTTTGTGGGGGGGGGCTCGGGTGAGGGCGCTGCGGGGGCGTGTCTAGGTTTCGAGGGTGGTCTGAGGGGTTTCGTTGTTTGCTTGGGGGGGGTGGTTACAGGATTCAGGGGTTCCCTTTGAACTTAATACTTTTAGGTTTGGGAAAGTGTCTGCGTGGGTGTAAGGGATACTTTGGGGGTTCCCTAGAGCTTAGGGGGCATCTTGGGGTTTGGGTTTGGGTGCTTTTGTGATTTGAAAGGTTCAGGGTTTCCTTTGTCGTTGGGGTTGCTTTTGGTGGGTACAGGATTTGGGGAACTCATGGAGGGACTTTAGAAGCACAGTAAGAGTCCAAGACGATCGATTTTGGAGCCCTGTGGGTTTGCGTCTCTCTGCAGTTGTTCATACCTGTCGAACCCTGGCCAAGTGATTTGACCTTTCTGTGTCTCATCTGGAAACGGGGTTGTGTCTTCTTATCTACCTCCGGGGCAGGGGAGGTGTAGTAGCAGGAATTGTTAGACCCTAGTAAGCTTACAGTGAGTGGGCAATAAGCACATGTTTGCCATTGTAACATTTGTAAGGTTTCTTTGGGAGCTTTTTATGGCTTTGAGAAATATTTATATGGTTTGAAGTTAGTCTTATGTGTTAGGGAGCTTTTGTGTTTTAGTGGGTTCTTTTGTGATGTGTGGGGCTTTGGTGGAATTAGAGTGGGGGGGTTAGAGAGAGTTTGAGGTGATTATAGAATTTGAGGAGACTGGTGTTTTGGGGCATTTTTGAGGTTAGAAAATTGCTGTGTGTTGGGGCTGTTCTTGGTAAGCATTGGATTTATGAGGGGTTCGTTGAGATTGGGGGCTTCTTGCTTGAGGGGATAATTTTCGGTTTGAGGATTTAAAGTAGGATTTGAAAGGGTCTGGATATTTAGAGGATTAGATTCTGGAGATAAGGGTTTAAGAACTGAGTGGGGGAATTTCAGAAAATAGCCAAGTTTTGGAGGGATTGATTGTGTCTGTAAAGAATGGCCTTTGCTTCTGTCCCTGGACATTTGGATGTATCTGAATTGGTAGTTGGTAAACTTTGTCATCTACAGGTGTTAGGGGATACGTGTGTGTGAGATTTTTTTTTTTTAAGCAATGAATTGGAATTTTAGCAGGGGCTGTCTTTGAGGGATTGGTGGAGTTAGGGATTATGGGTTAGGGTAAGGATTCCTTGGATTGAGATGGTCTGTTACTGTTGTCTGGGTTTTTGGGGGGCTGTCTGGGTTTCAAATGGTGTCTACAGGACCATGAAGTAATGGGGTTTTGGTGGTGTCTGTGGAATTGTCTGGATTTAGCAGGAGTCAGCAAACTTCTGTGAAGTGTCCAGTAGTGACTGTTTTAGAGTTCCCCCATTCGGTCCCTGCTACAGCTGCTCAACTCTGACATTAAAGCATGAAAGCAGCCATAAATGAATGAGCATGTTTCAATAAAACTTTATTTACAAAGGTAGGCAACGGGCTAGATTTGGCCCACGGGCCATAGTTTGCTAACCCCTGGTCTACAGGCATGTGGAAGATGTGAAGTTTGAGGGCATTTTGTTTTGAGATGTCTAGAGGGAGATGGGCCAGGGAAGGATTGGCACCGAGGGGTATGCTCTTTATTGGTCCAGCCACGGAAAGTGGCCATATCCGACTCGTGACCAAAACTGACTCCAAATCAGCTCATGCCTGTAAAGCCATAGGAAAATAATAAATAATTAAGAGAGCTCTGAACTGAGAAGTCCACAAACCAAGTTGAAGGGCCTGGTTTTGCTCCTGACCCACCTTAGCTATGTAACCCATCCCTCCTCTGAGCCTCAGTTTACTTGTGTATGACTTGAGGGAACTAGACAAAAATAGGTCTTCTTATCCCAGAGGTTCTCTGGCAGTGCTGCAGGGAGTTACCTGCACAGTCCCGTGCCGCTGTATGTGTTTGTCTGGGTGAGGGTATCTAGCTCTAAGAGATTTTTAAAGAACCCCATGCCCCCGAAAAAGTGAAGACTCCATTTCTTAAAGGCCTTCCTGGTTCTGACCTTCTGGGATTTTCTTCCTCCTCCCAGCCCACCCGGTTCCTCCCTCCATGAGCCCAAGCAGCCAGAGCTGTGGGCAGGGCTGGGAATGCCTGTCTTTTCAGGAACTGACGACTGGGTGAGTACATAGCAAAAGGAGGTGTGTGTCCGTTGTTACTTTCACTTGAGTTGAAAGCTTCTGACAGCGAGAGGCCTCTGTGTAGTGAGTGAAGGCAGGTGGGCAGTGCAGTGGATCTGTGGGGTTGGAACAAGGTACCAGAGCAGGTCCCATCGCCTCTGTGGCCATCCGTTTGCTCACCTGTGCAATGGGGCAGGAATAGAATTCCTGGAGGTCTCAGTCTATCCCCTCAGGAGAGGCTGAGGGGCAGGGTGGTCCTGGGAGGGAGAGCCCTTCCCTCAGTTCCCCAATTTCCTCTTTCCTGCCTCCAGGTAGCCCGTGGAGCCCCCCACCACCATCCAGCTCCTGAGATGCGGTGATCCACTTCCTGTCTGACACCCCCCCCCCAACAATGGACCGTGGTGGTGGCCTCCTGCCGTTCCAGCTATGGTGCCCCAGGCCGTTTGGCACCTACTCACAGAACCAGCCGCGCCCACCTTCCACGACCCTCAAGCCATCAGCCTGCCCCGAGCCGGGCAGTGGGGCGGAGCCGGACCGTGGGCCTGCCCATTCAGAGAACACACCGCCCGCCTTGGCCCCGGAGACCCCGGCCCCTCAGCCTGCCCCACTCCTCTCCACTGCAGCTGCAGGCGATGAGGGCCGAGTCCTGCTGGACACGTGGTATGTGATCAAGCCCGGGAATACAAAGGAGAAGGTGGCCTTCTTTGTGGCCCACCAGTGCGGCGGGGGCAGCCGGGCCAGCTCCATGAAGGTCAAGGGGCACTGGGGCAGTGACAGCTCCAAGGCCAAGCGGCGGAGGCGCTGCCTGGAGCCCACCAAGGCCCCGCTAGACCCAGGGGGCCGGGAGGGGCTCCCTGCTGCTGAGGGGGCCCCAGGCTTGGCCAGTGAGGACGTGGACCTGCTCTCTGTGGCTGAGATGGTGGCCCTGGTGGAACAGCGAGCCGCCCTGGCCCTGCAGAACTACCCGCGCCCCGGCACCCCGGCGCCTGTGGTCTTCGTGTCGGCAGAGCAGGGCGGGCCGACCAAAGGGCTGGGGCCCGAACGGCGGGCCAGCAGTGGCGGTGGGGACTGCAGCCGTGTGGCTGAGGCGGTGGCCCACTTTGAGGCCCAGCGGGACAGCCCTCCAGCTAAGGGCCTCCGCAAGGAGGAACGGCCCGGGCCAGGCCCTGGGGAGGTTCGCATTGCCTTCCGCATCTCCAACGGCCGTGAGCCCAGAGCACCGGATGGCAGCATGCCCAATGGGGGCGGGGGCTGGCCTGGCTGTGCCTACCCTGGCAGCCCGGGTCCTGGAGCCCGGACCAAGGACAAGATCACCTGCGACCTGTATCAGCTCATCAGCCCTTCGAGGGATGCTCTCCCCAGCAATGTGGAGTTCTTGCTGGCTCGGGCAGATGAAGCCAGTGAGGGCGAGATCCCAACCCCTGCCAGGCCCGAGGACACCCCCCCAGCACCCCCTCCTCCACCTGCCCGGGACTGTGGGGCCTCCGGCTTCCACGTGGATGTAGTGGTGACGGGCGTGGTGGACGAGTGTATTTTCTTCGGCAAGGACGGCACCAAGAATGTGAAGGAGGAGACGGTGTGCCTGACGGTCAGCCCTGAGGAGCCACCCCCTCCCGGCCAGCTCTTCTTCCTCCAGTCTCGGGGGCCAGATGGGCCCCCCGAGCCGCCCCCTGCCGATGTGCCAGCCACCGCGCCAGGCCCGGACGATGCCGAGGGGGTGGCGGACACCTCGCTGTGCCGCCTCTACCGGCACGTGTCGCATGACTTCTTAGAGATCCGCTTCAAGATCCAGCGGCTGCTGGAGCCTCGGCAGTACATGCTGTTGCTCCCTGAGCACGTGCTGGTCAAGATCTTCAGCTTCCTGCCCACCCGGGCCCTGGCGGCCCTCAAGTGCACCTGCCACCACTTCAAGGGCATCATTGAGGCGTTCGGCGTGCGGGCCACCGACTCACGCTGGAGCCGCGACCCCCTCTACCGCGACGATCCCTGCAAGCAGTGCCGCAAGAGGTACGAGAAGGGCGACGTGTCGCTGTGCCGCTGGCACCCCAAGCCCTACCACCACGACCTGCCTTACGGACGTTCCTATTGGATGTGCTGCCGCCGGGCCGACCGCGAGACGCCTGGCTGTCGCCTGGGCCTGCACGATAACAACTGGGTGCTGCCCTGTAACGGGCTGGGTGGGGGTGGAGGCCGGGCCGGCCGAGAGGAGGGCAGGTGAAGCCGGTGGGGCGGGGGGAGCCCGCCATGCCCGCCCTCACCCCCTCCCCCGGGGAGCCGAGGGCCAGGACGGGGTCACCAGCCTGGACTCCCAGTCCAGGGAGCATCGATACCCCTCCAGAGCCAAGATGGGGTTCAGGGGGTGACCCCAGCAGGCACTCTGATTGCCTGACCGTTGGTTTCTTACTCCTCAGACCCAGGGCCGTGGACCCTCAAGGAGGGTATTTTTTTTTTTAAATCAGCATCTCAATTTCTTCTCCATTCAGCCCCAACACCCTCCCTGCCACCTTCTACACCCCAGGGACCCACTAGCAGGGAGCAGACGGCAGCTACTTTTGGTACCACTTAAGGGTTCCCCCATTCTGGCCCCCTCCCAGCCTCTCCCCTGGTTCTTTGTCTCTGGGGCTGTTTTCTCCCAAGAGGCTGTGACCCCCAGGTTGCCACTTCTCCTGACCCGCCACACCAGGGCTCTTGGGAATTGAGAGCCATCAGATCACAGGTCCGATTTGGCACTTTCATGACAGCCTGCCAGTTTGAGATGTTTTCCCCATGAAAAAATAAAAACCACTGCTTTCTCCTTAATCTCAAGCTACCAGTCTCCCGTTTCCCGAGAGAGGAAGAAGGGAAAAAGTTGAAGTATAAAAATTCCCCCTCGTCCTACTATTTAAAGCTATTGCTATCATCCCTCCAAAATTTATTTAAAAAAAAAAGCTGTGAAGCCCTTTGCCTCGCTCTTGACAGCGTGGGGGGCCAGTGGACGGGGCCGCGGGTTTGAAGTTCTGAGTGGTTTTTCTTTCTACTCTGGGTACTTGTTCAGGTGTTGGGGGTCTCTTCAAGCCCTCCCTCCCTCCAGCCACATGTGTTTCTTTAGAATTCTTTGGTCAACTGGGACCTTGATTTTCAGGCAGTTTGTTCTGGGGTATTTTTGTTTGTTCTGTTTTGGGGGTTTTTGTGTTTTCATCATTTTGGTTCTGGAAGCTTCTAGCGTGTGGCGTTTGACCGATTTTGAATTGGTCCTTTCTATAAAATCAATATTTATAAGGCTGGGCTCAAACTGGTTTGTGTGTTGTTGAGGGAGGAGGCTTGGGGACAAAAGGCGGCACGGGCCTGTGTGTGGTGGGATAGAGAGTTGAGAGAGAAGGAATCCTTAGCCAAGTTCCTTAGCCTGAAATTATTTTGGACCCTTGTCACCTGTGTCAGTTTGGATTAGAAAGTCTCAAAATAGTAGTAGCTTAAAGAAGACAAAAGTTTTTCTTTCTCTGGAGACCCAGTATTGGGCAGCTGTGGGGCCCTCCAAAGTCATCAGGAAGCCAGGCTCCTTCTCACTCACTCTTCTGTTATCCTTATCTGTGGTCTTTGTCCTCATGGTCCAAGATGGCCACTAGAACTCCCATCACTATTTTGCAGGCTGCAGGATGGAGGAAGGGACAAAGGAGGGAAGCCCTTTTCTTCCCAGAAGTACAACATTACCTGTCTGTATACATCTCATTGGCCAGAACTTAGCCATAGCTGGGTGCAGTATGCCCAGCAAAAAAAAACTTTTACTAAAGATTCCTGTAATTAAAGTTTTAAAATAGCTAATTATCTCACTAAATAAAAAGGGGACTTAGAACATTTTTAAAATTTAAGTATAAAAATAGAAGAGAGAAGAATGGATATTAAGAGGCAGCTAGCAGTCTGACATTCTTAGCAGGGAATCAAAATTTCCAGAGAGACTAGGATATATAATAAAACCTGTGAAAGCTGGAACCTGTGTAAGGTGGAAACCTGTCAGAGAAGGAAAGCTCAAATATTTTTGACTAAAACGAGCAATAGAAAAGTGGTAAGACTCCACCTTGTCAAAGGCAGAAAACTTGCAAGATTCAGAGGTTCTGGCTCTCACAGGTTTCACTGTAGTTATTCAGTGCTTTGTTTTAGACTCGAAGAGACCTGGGTTTGAATCTTGGCTTGGTTTTGTGGGACTTCAGTTTCTAGTGGGCTAGATTACTTGCACCAAGCTCTTGCTGAAAAACAACAAATAAATATTTTCCTTAAAAGTATCAGATAGCCAGTAAGCTACAGTAAGGACCCACCAGACCAGAAGTTTAAGGGAAAGGTGCACCAGGCTCTAAGCCACAGTTGCTCTGAGGGTATTTGTTGATGTGGACACATGTGGGTTTCTCATTTGGCAGCCTTATGGGGGCAGACATGTAAAAGTCAAGGCCAAAGACTACCCCATGTGGGGAATCTCGAAGGAGCTGGAGTCCCAGAGAACTACAAGCTCAGGTAAGGATAATCCAGAAAACTGCAGAGATGTTCTCAATGCTCAGGGGAGCACAAGACCAAAGGAAAGAAAAAAAATTGACTTATATTTTGTGGCTGTAGACTGGACCTTGTCACAGATTTGCAGTCCAGGTTTGCATCACCTGTGTGATCTAGGGAACTGCTAGGTATGATGTCTGGCAGGAAAAAAAAAAAAAAAACCTGGTAGAAGGCCTGTCATCTTGAATCTCCACAAATAATTTTTTTTCACACATAAGTATACAGTCAAATAACCAAACATGAATAGAAATAAAACAATCTGAGCAGGAAACAACAGAAAGCAAAAACGGACCCACAGAGGCTTTAGATGTTGACATTCTCAGTCATCGGTTATTATAACAACATTGCTTCCCTTTTTTCTTTTTTTACTTCCTTTAAAAAAAAAAAAAAGAAGAGCTTAGAAATATCTGCATGTACCCAAAACTAAAAAGTGGCCTAGTGGATGTGAAAAAAAACCCACGGATAAAACATCTAGAAATGAAAAAAATACAGTAACCAAAAGTGAAAACTTAAATGGCTGGGTTAAACAGAAGATTAGACACAGCTGAAGAAAGATTTACGGAACTGAAAACAAGGTCAGGAAAATATCCATAATGTAGCACAGAGAAAAACAAAACCCAGAAAATACGAAAGAAAGGCTATGGAGGATAAAGTGAGAAGGTCAAACATACACTTAATTGGCATTCCAGAATCAGAAGAGAGAATGGGGCAAGACAAGATGGTTGAGAATTCCAGACTGGTAAGACACCAATAAGCCCAATAAATGATAAGCAGGATAAATAAAGGTACACTAAGTCACATGGTAGTGAAAGTGCCCACCTATGTAATCTTGGGCAGTTGACTTCTCTGAGGCTCAGTTTCTTGATCTGAAAAATAATACTAACAGTTTCTCAGATTGATATATGAGATACTGTATCTAGGGTGCTCAACAATCGTTTATCAAATACTCGACCCTCTGTATCCCCAGGTTTCACATCGGCGGATTCAACCAACGGCAGATTGCAAATATTTGGGGGAAAAAAGAAAGTTCTAAAAAGCAAAATTTAAATTTGCCACCCACCAAGCACTCCGCTGAATGCCTGCAAATGAAGTGATGTGTATAGCCTCCCACCATTTCACAGATCCTCAGTCTGTCTCTGGCACTTGTCCAAGCATTGTTAGCGTCGCATCTGGTTATTCCCTAAACAATACAGTATAACAACTATTTACATAGCATTTACGTTGTATTAGGTATTACAAGTAATCTATTTTGGAAGAAATAGAATGGTCCTTAGAAGCAAGGATGGCAAGACTTCATCTCACATACTTTGGACATGTTATCAGGAGGGAATCAGTCCCTGGAGGAGGACATCATGCTTGGTAAAGTAGATGGTCAGCAAAAAAGAGGAAGCCCCTCAACCAGATGGATTGACACAGTGGCTGCAACAGTGGGCTCAAGCATAACAACAATTGTGAAGATGGCACAGGACTGGGCAGTGTTTTGTTCTGTTGTGCATAGGGTCACTGTGAATCACAACCAACTCTCTCCATGAGGCAGAGGTGAGATAGCGTGTTTTAAGCACTGGGCCCCATCATCTGCCACACAAATGAACAACAAACGTTAGTACCAACCCTGTGGTTTTTGGACCCCCCTCACCACCCTGGCTGGTGATGTCACTGTCAGCTTCCCTTTCTGAACTCTGGACATCTGTCAATTCCACCTCTCAGAACCTATTAATGTCCCCCCAGCCCCCAGCTCAACCCCACTCTGCCTTACAGCCAATTAAAATGTCAGCAAACTTACTCCAGCACAGGTCATTTTTTGGAAGGGAGGCAAGACAAGGGGTTAACAGTTGGCGGTGAGCCTAGGTTCTGTCAGTGACTGATTCTTCACAATTCTCAGCCTCAGCCACCTCATCTGCAGTGAGAACTGCAATTGTGCCTACCTCAGGATGTGGGGGGAGATTACCAATGAGTTGATATATATAAAGCGCTCATAGTGCCTGCCATATAGTAGGAACCTAGTAAATGTAAGCTACTGTGTGGTGCAAATGGTTTGCACTTGACTAGTAACCTAAAGGTTGGTGGTTCCAACCCACCCAGTGGTGCCATGGAAGAAAGCCCTGGCAATCTGCTTCTGTAAAAATTACAGCCGGGAAAATCCTATGGAGCAGTTCTTCTCTGTAACACACAGGGTTGCCATGAGCTGGAATCAATATGACGGCAGCAGGTTTGGTTTGGATTTTATTGTGGGAGAAGCTGAATTGAGGACCTTTTCTTTATCCGCTCTCATTTGATATCCTCGAGCTTTCTTTTGAGTCTCCTCCGGCCTTTAGTTGGCTGGAAGGCCGATGCTCACCTTCCCTGTTGAATAACCCTCCATCCTGGCAGCCCTGCTGCCCACCCAGTCCCCATGGAAATCACAAAACCAGCAGGTGCAGAGCCCATGGGGCTTTCCTTCTAGAGAGCGCTTTTGAGAACATGTGCTAAACAGCTGTGAACACAGCATACTGTATCCTTAAGGATGTCATGTTCCAAACTTTGCTGATCATGTGACTCCTTCAAGTGCTTGTTACAGGGTCCCAGCTCCTCCCTGGAGTTCTGATTGGATAGGTCTGGGGTGGGGCCTGAGAGTCTGCATTTTCCAGTAGGCAGCTTAGCTGAGTCTGATAATTAGGGTGGGGAAACACTTCCTCAGGCCATCACTAGAGTTGTAGTGACACCCATCATTGCGCACTCCTGTACCCACAGATGAAAGGGAAAGGAACTTTTGGCAGAACTAGTTTGCAGTGAATCTAGGTCTAGTATACCTTTCCTCTCATAAATGTTCTCTAACTTCCAAAACCCTCATTTCCCCTAGTATATTCCGAGGTGCCCTAGTTCTGTGAGGTGCTTCCAGGTAGAGAGGTTCCATGGTCAAATATTTTAGGGAAACACTGTTCTGTTGTTGGGAGTCATCAAGTTGATTTCAACTCTTAGCAACCCCATATGACAGAGTAGCCTGCCCCACAGGGTTTTCTAGACTGTAATCTTTATGAAGCAGACCAAGTCTTTTTCCCATGCAGCCGCTGGGTGGGTTTGAACTGCCAACCTTGTTGATTAGAAGCCGAGCGCTTAACCATTCCACCACCAGGCGACTCCCTGTTTTCTGTCCTACTCTTGAAAACTGACACTACAGTGAGGAAACTTGTTTAACATCTCACCCCACTTCCTTGATCTCTGGTCCCCTTTTTTTATTGCAACACATATTTACGCTAGTTCTGCAGAACATGTTTTGCAGAAACGCTGTTTTCTTGCCCATTGGGTGTGGCAGAATCTGGTTTTCCCAAATATTGGCTTCCATCTCTGTTCCCTGCTTACAAGCACATGCTCTGTGGGCCCCATGTGGTGTATTCACATGGAGGTAGGTTTGGACCATGCAGCACCAAGGCTGGCATCCTGGAGAAGGAGCTGATAAATTTAGTCAGAAGGTGTTGCTGAGACGCCAGTCCACAAATGAGAAGAGCATTCAGCCTTGTCAACCTTCAGACCAAGCGTTTCCCTCAGGGCAGGGGCCAAGCTTACTCCTATGGTCCTTGCCACCATGGTGGTCTCTTCCAAGTCTTTGAAGGGAGGTGGCTCGAGAGGGTCGGCGGAAAGAGGATCTTCCAGTCATAGCACAAGGAGGAGCCAAAGGTGTCACAGAGGATAAACCAGCACATCCGAGGCGTGCCTAGTCTGAGATCCGCAGGCTCCAGGTGCTCTTGGCATGTCCCCTGCTGGGCACTTCTCCCTCAGAGTGAAGTCTCCCCATCGGGGATCAGCTCGGCAGGCTAGAGCCCCAGGTATTCAGCCAAGAAGACAGCGAGGATGCGGCTCAGGTTGTGTACCGTGGGAGGGTGAAGGTTGGCCTCAGTGTCGGCAGGCGTGTGCCAGACAGAGGGGAAGGGTGTGGAGATGAGGTGGAGCACCGGAACCCCTGTGGGCGACAGAAGAGACTCAGTCAGGCCTGCTTGAGACCCACCGCTGACCCAGGTGCCCAGGCCCAGGGCTGTGTGACCTTGCCTGCTGCCCCCCCACAAAGAAGATACTCTGTTCTGGCACTCTCAGAACTCTGAACGGAAAGGTAAGAGCTAGAAAACTCAGCAATCATTGACGTACAAATAATAGTAACATTTCTTGAATGCTATATGCTGGGCACTGGTCCAAGTAAGGTCTTAACATGTATTAGTGCTTTCAATCCCCTCAACAAAAGATAAAAAAAAAAAAACCATTGCCAGCGGGTTGATTTGGACTCACAGCAACCCTATAGGACAGAGTAGAACTTTCCTATAGGGTTTCCAAGGCTGTAATCTTTACGGAAGCAGACTGCCACATCTTTCTTCCGCAAAGCAAGTGGTGGGTTCAAACCGTCGACCTTTCAGTTAGCAGTTGAGTGCTTAACCACTAAGCCACCAGGGCTGCTTCAACAAGAGATAAGTACTATTATTCTCATTTCACAGATGAGGAAATTGAGGCACAAAGAGGTTAAGCAACTGGCCAGCAGTCCCAAGCCCCGGGAAGGGGCCAGGGCCAGGTCCCATTTGAGACTCCCTTATTCTCCACCACCCCCAATACCTCCCAGCAGCAGTACCTCGGCGGAGGAAGGGGACATGGTCATCTTCCACAGATCCAGGGGGCTCCCCGGGCTGGAAGTACATCACTTCCTGGGGATGAGCCTGCAGCAGATTCAAACGGTGCAAACGCTTCTCTGGAGGCCATGGGGATTAGAGAGCAAGGGTCAGTACCTCAGGGGTCAGAGGTTCTCCTGCTCACAAACAGAGGAGGACAGGGGGCTGGGGGATAACACACTGGTCTTCCCAATAGGAATGAATGCTAGTTACCCCTTATTATGGTTTATTATGTTCCCGGTCTCATTTAATCCTTCTACGTCTATAAGGTCGATACCCCTATTATCATTACCATTGTGCCCATTTTACAGATAGGAACTGAGGCTCAGAGAGATGAAGCCAATTGTCCAAGTTCACACAGCTGGTAAGAGGCAAAGGCAGGGTTGGAACCCAAGGCTGCCTGACCCCACAGCCCCTGTGTTTATTTACATTAGACTGCTGTGGGATCATTTTGTGTTTCGGCCCTCGTTCCTTAGAGACTGTGGAAGTGGAGAGAAAGGACAGAGGACTCCTTAGGAATACGTGTGCATCCCACCTCCGGCCTGCCCTCCTGCATCCCAGGTAGTACCTGCCTCTACCATGGCCCTTACCGATACTCCGCAGCCGATGGAACCAGCGGGCCGTGCGCGGGAAGTGACTGTAGAAGGTTGGGTGGGGGGCTCCCAGGAGATCGAGAAGCACCAAGAGCTCCTAGGAAGAGAGGCCGCAGATGGAGGAGGCCGGGTGGGAGTCTGCCAACTCCACCTCACCCTCTCCCTCCTCTTTGGAATCTGGGTGGGGCCCTGATCTTACAATAGCCTGGATCCTGGTGGGGCCAGGACTGTGGGGGGCAGACTCCATGACCTGGGCCAGGTGCCGGGAGCCATAAAGGGAGTCGTTGGGTCCCCACTCCTTCAGCGCCTCTTCGCCATCCAAGAAGAGCAGCTGCAGGGTCACTGGGGCTGCCTGTGGGAGCGGATGGTCAGGGTCAGCCAGTGCCAGGCCCTCAGCCTCAACCCACCCACGCAACCGAAAAGAGCAAACCAGGTCTACTTCCTCAAAGTGCAGCGGCCAAAAGTATAGACTCTGAGTCAGACTGCCTGGGTTCAAATCTTGGCTGGGCCACTTCGTAGCCAAGAAGTACTCCTCAAAGCCTCAGTTTCCTCATCTGGAAAACGGGGTTAATACCAGTTCCATTCATAGAGTAGGATTCAAATCCAGGCCAAAGAACAGTGCCTGATGCACAGTAACTAAATAAGGGTGGTGGTTGTTAATTGCCATCAAGTGGATTCCGACTCATGGTGACCCCATGTGTGCAGAGTAGAACTGCTCCATAGAATTTTTGAGGCTGTGACCTTCCTGAAGCAGATTGCCAGGCCTGTCTTCCGAAGTACCTCTGGGTGGGTTTGAACCACCAACCTTTTGGCTAGTGGTCAAGTGCTTAACTGTTTGTGCCATTAGCTCTGATTATTATTGTTATTATTCAAGCTCGGTTTGGCAGAGAGACTCGCAAACGAAGAATTACACGACACCTACTCCTCATTTATCAACTGTCTGGTTAACTGACATTTTGCATTTACGACAATGAAAAAATCTATCCGACTATTTTGTGCATTAACAACATACATCTGGCAGTAACGAACACTGAGGTGCAAGGCAAGAATAACGCTGCCTGTGATAGTTAGGTTATGTGTCAACTGGGCTGGGCCATGATTCTCAGTGGTTTGACAGTTATGTAATGATGTAGTCATCCTCCATTTGGTGATCTGATGTGGTCATCCTCCATTTTCACATAATGCCAATTTTCGCATAATGACCTGGTCTTTGGAACCTAACCATGTCGATAAGTGAGGAGTCGGTGTAGTTAACTGCAGATGGGACAAATGCTGTTGAGAACTACAGGGTCCTGAGAGAGAGTAGCTTAGGGAGGGCATTGGGTCTGGCGAAGGGATGTTTGCACTGAGGGTAAGTGGGGGCTGGCCTGGCAAAAGTGGATGGGGGAGCAGAGGGAAGAATATTCTGGGGCAAGGCTGGGACCAGGGAAGAGGCCAGAGATGTTTGAGAGAAGGCTGGAGGGGTTAGCAAGGGAAAATCAGTTTGAGCTTTGTTACAGGGGCACTGAAGAGCCATGGAAGGGGTTTGAGCAGGGGAGGAGCATGATAAGTGATTTTATTCATTCACTCCATACATTTTTATTACTGTCCTACTTTATGCTAGGCAATATTCTGGGCCCAGGGCATATAGCAGGGAGGGAACAAAAGAAGCCAAGTCCCTGTCCTCAGGAAGCTTATTCTAGCTGGGGAGACAGACAAACAAATCAGCATAAAGTACCACAAAGCATGAGATAGTGACAGGGAACTATTTCAGGGTGGCCGGGAAGGCCTCTTTGAGTAGGTGACGTTGGAGTAGACACTTGAATGAAGGGTGGGAGCCAGCCAGGAAGATATCTGGAAAAGGACATTCTAGGCATAAATCAGAGGAGTCCAGAGGGCCAAAGGATAAAGCACTGGTCCTCCCAACAGGAATGAATGTTAGTTACCCCTTACTGCATACTTACTATGATCCTGGTCTCATTTAATCTCTCTGAGTCCACGAGGTAGATACTCCTATTATCATTACCACCATGCCCATTTTACAAACAGGAAAACTGAGACTCAGAGAGATGAAGCCACTTGCCCAAGTTCACTCAGCTGGTAAGAGGCAGAGGCAGGATGTGAACCCATGTCTGTCTGAGCCCCCACCCCCACCCTGAGCCCCTGTCTGTAGTCACTACACTTGATTGCTGTGGGATCCAGCAGAGAAAACAGCAAGTGCAAATGTCCTGAGGTGGGAGTGAACCTTGTGAGTTTGAGGAGCACAGAGGAGGCGAGTGTGGTTACAGCAGTGTGCCAGGGTGAGAGGTGAGAGATGAGATCAGACAGGTAATGGCACACCTCGGGGGTACTGTAAGGGCTCTGCTTATGCTCTAAATGAGGTAGGAGCCATGGGAGGGTTTTGGGCAGAGGAGACAGGTCTGACATTCAGGGTGTGGAAAGATCTTTGTGGCTCTGTTCATGGAATGAAGCAGAAGACCAAAAGGTGACAGACACCCAGGCAAGAGAGGATGGTGGCTTGTACCAGGGTGAAGGTATCCTCCCACCCCCAGCCCCGGCTCCTCACCTGCTCCTTGGCCCTGCTCAGTTCCAGGTCAAGGGCCTGGGCCAGCTCCAGCAAAAGGGCACAGGGCACAGCCGAATCTGTGGCTCCCACGAAGGGAGCTGAGCTGGGTGGGAAGAACTTGGAGTCATAATGGCAGGCGAGAGTGAGATGGCGGGCAGCCCCCCGGTCCAGTGTGGCCACCACGTTGCCAAAGTTCAGTAGCCCCAGGGGCGTCGAGGCTGTGAAGGGGTCCAGCTCCACGTGCCAGCCGGCTGTCAGTGTCCGCAGTGTGGCCTCCAGAAACTAGTAGCAAGAGAGAGGTGGGAGGGTGGGCAGGGCCTAGGGTGAGGCTGGGAGAAGGGGCATGTGCCCTGAGCCATGCAGAGCTGCTGGGCTGACTAGCAAGCCCCATGTTTAAACCTTCCCTTGACACACTTCTACCGGGCACCTACTGGATGCCAGGCAAGATGCCAACAAGATTAATCACAGCTCACTCTGAAATAGCACTCAACATTTGCGAGGCCCTGTTCTGTGAACTCTACAGAGCTCTACAGGGTAGGGATTGTCATTGGCCCCATTTTGCAGATGAGGAAACAGGTTAAGAAACTAGTCAAGTACTATGGGACATACAATGATACTCATGAAGAGTGTGTTTCTTAGCTCAAGTGGATACTTGAGACTAAATGGGCAGTTTCTGTCCGGAGGTGAGATGAGAAGGCAGAGAGGGTCAGGAGCTGGTTGAATGGACATGGGAAATCGGGTGGAAATGAGAAGTGTGCTGTCACAGTATAGGGAGAGCAACAAGGGTCACAAAACAATGTATGTATAAATTTTTATATGAGAGACTAACTTGAATTGTAAAGTTTCACTTAAAGCACAATTAAAAAAAAAAAAACTAGTCCGTGGGGATTGCAACTAATGTCACAAAACAGTATGTATATAAATTTTTGTATGAGAAAATAACTTGAGCTGTGAACTTTCACCCGAGACACAATAAAACAAAAAAAGATAGAAACTAGCCCAAGGTCACACCCAAACGGCTGAGCTGGGATTCCAACTCAGGAAGTAGTTAAATGACTCCAATGCTTTCTGGGAGGCGATACAGAGATGTTCCAGCACCAGCTCTGGAGTCAGCCTGTGTGCCTTCAAAACTTATTACAAGTCCCTGGATGGTGCAAACGGTTACGTGCTCGACTACTAGCAAAAAGGTTGGCGGTTCAAACCCACCCAGTGGCACCTCGTAAGAAAGGCCTGGCAATCTACTTCTGAAAGGTCACAGCCTTAAAAACCCTATAAATCAATTCTACCTTGCACACATGGGGTTGCCATGAGTTAGAACTGACAGCAACTAACAACAACAAATCACTTACTAGCTATAGGACTTGGGCAGTGTCCAACCTCTCTGAGCCTCAGTCTCCCCATCTGCGTAATGAAGATCATATTGGTACCCACCTAATAGGGCTGTTGCTTGCACCTGGCATATAGTAAGCTTTTGATGGGGGTAGTACAGCCTAGTGGGACTGGAGACGGATTATTTCCAATCAGAGCCCCACTCCGCCCCTTAGCTGCTTTGTTATCTTGGCAGGATGCCCAGTTCCTATTCATTCGTCCTGAGGGCTGGGGGTGCTCAGGGCTTGGAGGTCCAGTCCTTTACCTTTCGGACTTGGAGACTGCCGGGACTGCCCGGAGTCCGCACCACCAGCAAGGGGCGCAGATAATTGCTCCAGAGACGCTGCGGGTCCAGTTGCCCGATCACCCTCCGCAGCTGGGCTTCCGAGAGGCTTCCGATCACCGGGGCCTTGGTAGGGGGGAAAGGTGGAGAAGAGAAGTGCAGAACATGAGAGCAATCCCACTCCGACCCTCCCCCGGGCGCCGCTGCCCATAAGGAGCCCTGTTCCTCTTCATAAGCATCATAGGCATCGGTGGCTTCTAGGATAAATCCTAGCCCCAGGAAAAAAGTCCCTTGAAGTCCATCTGTTCCAGCCTACCCAATCCTGATGGGGAAATCAAGGGCCAGGGGAGGAAGGATCTCTTCCAGACAGCTGATTTAGGATTAGAACCCTGATCGCCAAACGCTCTGTGACCGTTCCAGACCCTTCCTCTTAAGGGGGAGCCAGAATTACAAAACAAACCCGGAACCTTATTCCGTTGGAAAGGTGCATGCACTCGAATGATGGAGACTGCGGCACCTGCGTTTAGGGCCACACCATAAGGCCACGTCAGTCAACCTCAGACCCTGGAGAAGGCTCGGCGGGGAGAGAGGGTCCCCACAGAGCCTGGGCCCGCGTCTGGCCTCACCCGCAGCTCCCGGCCTACCGGCAGCTCCTCGGTACCCCGATGCCAGCCGCTCCAGATGGTGTAGAGCGCCGAGCCCACGGCCAGCGCCAGCAGCAGCAGGGGCAACAGCTGCGCCCGCGGTAGTAGGCGGCGCTTGGGCGGCGAGGGGGGCTCCAAGAGGCCGCGCTCCCCGAGCCGTAGCCGGGACCGCCCACGGCTCCCGGAACGCATGGTAGCTTTGCCCAGTAACCCAGTCCTCGACCAGGGAGCCGCCAGTTCAGGCCTAGCCATACAGTCCAGGGGCCAATGAGCAACCAGAGCGACGGCATTATCCCACACCCCCGGAGAGCAGGGAAACCAATGGAAACTCTCGGTCTGAGAACACGCCTCCTGCCTCCCTGGGGCAGGATTGGTTCCCCTGAGAGCAGCACAACCCAAACGGGAGCGCGGAAGTGCCAGGCTCCGCCTCAGCGGAAGAGGAGAAGCCAATGGCAAGCGTTTGATCTTGGAAAACTTTCGTCGTCCCCAGCGCAGGTCTACGCCCCTCCCGGATGTAGGCAAGGGATTGGTTGTGCCGAGTCGAAGAAATCCGTAGACGCGAAAATGAACCGTCCCTGAGGAAAAAGCGGCGGAACCCATCCTTGCAGCGAGGAGCGGATTGGTTTTGCAGAGGCCGCGCCCCTGAGGGCCTGGCCGGCGGGTATTTGGAAATGCTGTGTCGCTTCTCTCCTTTAGCCTATCCTGTTCTACAGCGAAATGGTTCGAGTCGGACCACCTTTGTTTTCCCCTGCATTGTTGTGAACAGTTGCCCCCAACTGGTTCTGAGTGGTCTCGAACCTCTGCGCAAGGCTTTAATCCCATTACTAGGCACAGCTGGCGGGGAGCACCATAGCAACAGACCACGCCCCCTGCTGGTTAGGTTTGCGCAGGCGCTGACGGAAGTGGGCCGCAGGAAGCGGAAGTCCCGCCTTTCCCTTCAGAGGCAGAAGCAGCGCGGAGGAGACAAGAGTTGCTTCAGAACGCAGTCTGCACCATGTGAGGCCGGGCCGGTACCAGGCGGCGGGAGTGGGGTTGAGGGTGTAAATTTGGCTGATTAACGGTTGGAAGAGGGTGAGAGGGCCCTTTCCTGATAGCCAGGGGCGAAGGCAGAAATTTTATGAGTAAAATGAAGGACTTTTCTCTTGATGGATGTGAGAACGGGAATGGGGCCTTTTACGGATGAGTTCGGGAGAAAGGGCTGCTTTATCAGATAACGGGCTGGGGGCTTTCCCAGATAACTAGTCTTGTTAAATACTGAGAGGAAGTGTTTCTGCGGATAAGGAACTTGCGGGAGGCGGGTGCTTTTTTAGGAATAATGATTTGAGATGAGAGACTTAACCGGATAGTTTGATCTAGAGACTGGCGGCTTTTCAGCGTGATTCGCGACTTTTATGAATAATAAATCACTGGACTGATTTTACTCATTTATTCACCGAATATTTACTGGGTGCTCTTTATGTACCAGGCACTGCTTTAGATACCTGGGGTCCGTCAGTGAATAGGATAGAAACTGCCCACCCCCCAGAAAAAATGTCTTCCCTGGTGCAGCTTATGGGGGGAAAGACAGGCCATAAATATAGTAAACAAGTAAAGTATATGGTGTGTTAGGTGAAGCGATAAAAACAAAAAAAAACCTAACCCAGTTGCCATCAAGTCAATTCCAATTTATGGCAACCCCACGTGTTTCAGAGTAGAACAGGCTAAAAACAATGAAGAATGCCAATTTTGAGAGACAATAACTTAATAACTAGCACAGAAGACCCCATTAAGAAGGTGACACTTGAGGAAAGTGAAAGAGGAAACCACACAGATATCCCAGGGGTGTCCAGGCAGAGGGAAAAGTAAATGCAGAGGCTTTAAGATGAAAGTTTGCCTAATAGATCTTCAGAGACCACCCAGGAGGCCACTGTGACTGGAGCAGAATGAGGGAGGGGTGGGGTGGGGGGTGTTGCAGATGTAGGGCATGGCAAAAACTGAACTTCTTACACTGAGATGAATGAGCCCTGGTGGGGCAGTGGCTATGTGCTCGGCTGTTAACCAAAAGGTTGGTGGTTCAAAGCCCCCAGCTGCTCTGAAAGAGAAAGATGTAGCAGTCTGCTTCCATAAAGATTGCAGCCTTGGAAACCCCAGGGAGCAGTTCTACTCTGTCCTATAGGGTCACTGTGAGTTGGCATTGACTCAGTGGCGTCAGGTTCTTTTTTGTTGGGTTTACACTGAGATGGGAACCATGGAAGGGTTTTGCTGAGTGACTTTGTCTTAATACAACCCCTTGGGCTGCTCCGTGGAGAATAGACCGTCAGGGAGCAGGGGTGGAAGAAGAGAGACCAGTAAGACTCCAGGGGAGAGATGATGGAGGATTTGGCTAGGGTGGTGACCATAGTAAGAAACGGTCAGATTCTACATGTATTTTAGAGGCAGGTGGCAGGATTCGCTGACAGATGTAGGATACAAGAGAAAGTGAGGAGCTAAGTTGACAAGAGTTTTTTGCCCAGAGAACTGGAAGAATAGAGTTGCCATCAACAGAGACGGAGGAGCTGTGGATGGAGTAGATTGGGGTGGTTGGAGCTCAGCCTGGGACATGCATGCAATGGTGGAAATGTCTGTTAGGCCTTGTCCTAGTTAAATAGTGCTGTTGTAACACAAATACCACAAGTGGATGGCTTTAAAGAACAGAGATTTATTTTCTCATGGTTCAGGAGGCTAGAAGTCCTCTGGTGGATGATCTGTAGCCCCTGTGTTCCACAGTTCCTTGGCGATGTGTCTTATTGGCTATTTTTATCACTCAGAAGTGACTAGGATAGGGCCTCATTAACATCCAAAAGAAAACCCTATTCCCAAACATGTCACATCCCCAGGTATTTAAAAAAAAAAAACCTTGCCGTCAGTGGATTCCGACTTAACAGCAACCTCATAGGACAGAGTAGAACTGCCCCAGAGGGTTTCCAGTGAGTGGCCAGTAGATTCGAACAGCCGACCCTTTGGTTAGCAGCCAAGTTCTTGTTAATGATTACAACACATATTTTAGGGGGATACAGTTCAGTCCATAGCAGACATCCAAGTGGTGATGCTGAGAGAGGACTGAGCTGGAGGAGGGTGGGTGTGTTTGGGCAAGGCTGGGGAGCCACCAAATGTGAGGTTCTGACTCCCCCGTGCTCCAGCCCCTCTTACCCACATCTCGTGCTTGCCACCTAGGAGCCTCCTCAACAAGCCCAAGAGCGAGATGACCCCGGAGGAGCTGCAGAAGCGGGAGGAGGAGGAGTTTAACACAGGGCCCCTCTCCGTGCTCACGCAGTCAGTCAAGAACAACACCCAAGTGCTCATCAACTGTCGCAACAACAAGAAGCTTCTGGGCCGCGTGAAGGCCTTCGACAGGTGAGTGCCCAGGTCTCGGGAGGTGTTTTGTCCAGGCCTGGAGAGCAGCCCACCTCGAGTCTGAAAAGCTTGAAGACAAGGTTTCTCAGAAGCCCCGTGGTGTGGCTGTCTCTCATTGCCCCTCCAGTGCAGTTGCTGTGAGCATGCAGTCAGGAGTCGGCCCGCCTGGGTTCATGTCCCAACTCTGTTCGCAGCCACCTGACCCTCAACAGGTGACTTCATCCCTTCAGTCGATTCCAACTCACGGCAACCCCCTGTGTGTCAGAGTAGTACTGTGCTCCATAGACGTTTCAATGGCTGATTTTTCAGAAGTAGATTGCTAGGCCTTTCTCCCGAGGCACCTCTCAGTGGACTTGAACCTTCAGCCTTTTGGTTAGCAGCCAAGCGCTTAACTGTTTGTGTCATCTGGAGACTCCGGTGGCGGTAATCATGATGGTTGCAAAGATTCAATGATTTAATGCAGGTGAACGACCTAATCGGACATGGTGGTTGAGATTGTCTATTTGTCGCTGTATCCGTTGTATTTTGAGCAATCCATGGAGTAGGCGTTCCACAAGTGTTTATGGAATGAGCTTACCCATGCTGCCATTCACTTGTCCAGAAGGCACCCCAGTGACAGGGACAAAGCAGGACTGGAGCGCATGGGTCATGTGTAGCCTCAAGCCCCAACACCCTAGAAGCCTCTGGAGGACAGACACCTCCAGAAGCACTCAGAGGGAAAAAGCACAAGCAGAATAATTCCTTTTGCATTTACCCTTTGCCCTGTTCTAAACACTTACAAATACTGGATATATTCATTTAGTCTTCACAACACCCCCATGAGGCAGGTACCATGATTGTCTCCATTTTAGAGGGGAAGAAACTGAGGCACAGAGGGGTGAAGTCCCCTGCCCAAGCCTTATCCTAGGAACTTGCAGGGGTGGGATGGAACCCAGCTGGTCCTGGCCCTGGGATGTGCCCTGTTGTTCACACTGTCCCACTAGAGGGAGAAGGCAGGGCGATCACCACGCTCCCCTCACTCCCGGTGTCTCCCTACCCTTGCCCCCACTAGGCACTGCAACATGGTGCTGGAGAACGTGAAGGAGATGTGGACCGAGGTCCCCAAGAGCGGCAAGGGCAAGAAGAAGTCCAAGCCCGTCAACAAGGACCGCTATATCTCCAAGATGTTCTTGCGTGGGGACTCGGTCATCGTGGTCCTGCGGAACCCACTCATCGCGGGCAAGTAGGGGCCTGTTCCCGCCCCAGAACCAACTCCTGCCGCCCCTTGAAGACCTGCCTCTGTGTTGGGAATAATAAAGTCCCTGTTTTTTCTACTAGTACCTGTCTGGGCCCAGGGCCTTGTGAGTGGGGCGGACTTGGGAGAGGGAGGGAAGATGGCAGCTGGAGCTCTGGGACTAAGCACTGGAACAAGGACCTCTCTGAGCCCCACCCTGGCATGCGGAAGGGCCTGGAAGGGCTGTCTCCACTGATGAAGTCGATGGGTTGGATGGAAATAACCTCTCAGTTTTGATGCCAGAGGAAGCTCTTGCTCTCTTTCCTGTTCTAGTCTTTTCTAGCTTCTCATCACTCTCTGTCCCTTCTCCCTGCTGCTCTCAATGAGTCTCTGCTTCATTCAAAATTCCTTTCTTTTTTCTTCTTCTCGTTTATTCAGTCAACACACATCTCCCAGGTGCCCCTGTGTTGCGCTGCTGGGGACACCACAGTGCACGAGAGCACCCTGGCCCTGCCCTCACGGACAGGAGGAGCCGACACACATTTAAAACCGGCAGTACCCATGAACGCGCTCGTGGCTAGTACCTGCTGAGCTGTTGGGCGCCAGGCTCTAGGCTCAGTGCTTTCTGGGCGTCTTCCCAACAGTGTGAGGTAGGCACTGTCATTTATTATTTCCCTTCACCAGAAGAGGAAACTGAGGCACAGGAACAGGATGCCACTTTCACAAGAGGCCCCAGCCAATAAGTGGTTGTGCTGTGATTCAGACCTGCTTCACTCCCAAACCTGTGACTGAAAGCTGAGCTCCACTACCCCTGAAATAATTACCCTTGAGGGAGAGTCTCTGACAGATAGAGGGAGGTAGAGGTGGGAAAGGAAGGCCTTCTTTATTAGGGGGTTCAGGAGGATCCCTGGTGCATGCCCGTGGTGCTCTCCCCCACCCTCGACCTGTCTCCCTTCTCCAGATAGGACCAAGGGGACGTGGGAGTCCGCAGGGTCAAGCTCGGGTGAGATGCCCTGTGAACCCATCAGCAGTAGAGGTGGTGGCCAAGCTGGAGGCCCTGCAGCGAGGACAGGGCCTGACACACAGGGCAGTGGCTGTGAGGTTATAAAACCTGTTGCCCTCAAGTCAGTACTGACTTATAGTGACTCTATAGGACAGGGTGGAATTACCCCATAGGGTTTCTTTCCAAGGCTGTAAATATTTATGGAAGCAGACTGCCACATCTTTGTCCCATGGAGTGGCTGGTGGGTTTAAACCGTGACCTTTCGGTTAGCAGCTGAGCACTTAACCGCTGCACCAGCAGGGCTCCTTGTGAGGTTATAAAGGTGGCGTTTACTAAGCGCTTCACTAGCCCTGGTGGCACAACGGTTAAGCATCAGCTGTTAACTGAAAGGTTGGCAATATGAACCCACCAAGTAGCTCCATAAAGACTATAACCTAGAAAACCCTTTGGGGCGGTTCTGCTCTGTCCCATGGAGTGACTGTGAGTCGGAATCTACTGATGGCACCTAACAAGTAAGCGCTCCACGTGTAATTGGAATGACCATCCTAAGGGGTAGACACTAAATTAAAACAAACCAGAGAGGGTTTCCAAGGCTGTCAATCTTTACAGAAGCAGACTGCCACATCTTTTTCCCGCGAGGTGGCAAGCGAGGCCACTTGAGGCCCAGAGAGCAAGTGACTTGCCCGGTGTCACCCAATTAGGAAACAGTGGAGCTGCGGTCAAACCCAGGGAGCCAGGCTCTCATGAGCAGGATGGAGCCACAGTGTCCTCATCTGTGGAATGGGGGCAGTGGTACTGCCACAGGCCACCCTAAGCATGTGGTTCTTACGCAGGAGCAGTGGCAGCACAAGCCCTGGAGTCCTGCGGTCCTGGGTTTGGATCTCTGCCCTGTCTCCCCTGGCTGTTGACTTGTCTTCACCAGGAGGTGGACACTGGTTTCCCTGCCTTGCAGGCTGGCAGCAGATTCCTGCTCTAGGCACCCTGCTTGGCATCAATATTAATTTCCTCCTCGCCCACCCCCTCCCTGCCCCAGTGGTTTCTGAGCAGCTCATCATTCAGGAGGTAAAAGCTAAAGCAGAAGCTGCGGGACTAACACTACGCGACAGTTGCCAAGGTAGCTGGTGGGTCAGTGGTAGAATTCTTAGCTTTCATGCAGGAAACCCTGGTTTGATTCCTGCCCAAGGGACCTCATGAGCAGCCACTAACCATCTGTCAGTGGAGTCTTGCTGTTGCTATGATGCTGAACAGGTTTCAGTGGAACTTCCCAACTAAGACTGACTAGAAGGAAAGGCCTGGAGACCTGAAAAACCCTATGGATCACAACGGTCCCATCTGCATCCAATCATGGGGATGGCGCAGGACCAGGCAGAGTTTTATTCCGTTGTGCATGGGGTCACCATGAGTCGGGCTGACTTGATAGCAGCTAACAACACCTCATTTAAATCTCAGGCAACCCTGGGATATAGCTACATCATTTCACCCATTTTCTGGAAGTAGAGACAGGTACAGAGAGGTTGAGAACTTTGCCCAAATTACATAGCTAATAAGTAGCCAAACTAAGATGTGAACCGGCCTGTTAGGATTCAGAGGCCACACTCTTTATAATTCCCGAACTAAACTCTAGAGAAGCAGCCCTCAGAAAATGGCACAAACATTTTTATGTGTGTGCATGTATATATACCCACCAAAACACCCACTGCCATCAAATCAATTCCAACTCATAGCGACCCCGTAGGGTTCCCAAGGCCATAAATCTCTATGGAAGCTGACTGCTGGCATCTTCTGTGGAGCCGATGGTGGTTTTGAACCACCAGTCCTTTGGTTAGCAGTCAGTCACTTCAACCACTGCACCACAAGGGCTCCTTTATACACATACATGCATACATGCACATATATGTATACATGTAAATGAGAAAAAACAAACCCATTGCCATCGAGTCGATTCCAACTCATAGTGACCCTATAGGACAGAGTAGAACTGCCCCATAGGGTTTCTAGGGAGTGGCTGGTAGATTTGAACGCTGACCTTTTGGTTAGCAGCTGAGCTCTTAACCACTGCGCCATCAGGGCTCCATGTATACATATAGACACATAATTTTCATCTGTATACACTGCAAATAATTAAGCATCAGGAGATTACATATACCATTCCCAGTTGGAGCTTCTAGGCAGTGGGTAGTGGCAGCATGGTGTCCACCTTTTCTCTGGCAACACTTGGCTGAAGTAGAGCAGCGCTGCCCTGCGGAGGGGGCAAGGCCATCCTGGTCACCACTGGCCCCACGCAGCCCCTCTTCTCAGAGTGGTTCCTCCCAACTCACAAAACATGACAAATAATTGTTTCTCATGCTTTATTTACAAGGGCCCTGCCCTGGGGCCACCACCCTGTTAGAACCCACAAAGGGGGCCGGCAGGCCACAGCCTTGAGGAGGCTCTGAGTTCAGCTGCTCTGGGGCACATTTGTCCAGGGAGCTGGGGACCCCGGGGGAAAATCAACAACACCCAGGTATTAACTGAATCTAAGTGTATGTGTGGAGGGGGGAATTAAGGAGGGAGGGTCTTGCATGTGTACAGGTGGTCCAACCACAGTGAGGCTGCCAGCCTCCTCCCACTTCTCCCAGCGCCCAGGGGCCGCCCACTGGCATCAATATTAATCTCGAAAGCAGTTATAACAGTCGGGCAGCAGGATGGAGCCACAATATCCTCATCTGTGAAATGGTGGTGGGATCTGTGCCCACACTCCCCAGCTAGTGGTGGTCCTGGCCACTCTGGATGTAAGCGAAGTCTCCCCAGTCTCAGGTCTGAGGCTCACCCCAAATTGCTCATGTTCATATCTCCACCCAGAATTCTCTGGATGCCAGTGCCTCTCACATTTCTATCTCCAGCTCTTATCTCTTGGGAGCTCCAGACGCTTATATCTACCTCTCCTTGGGTGTCCTACAGGCATTGCTTAACAGGTCCCAGAGTACTCTTGGTTTGCCACCCTCCCCCCAACCCATCTCCCTGTTTCCTTTCTCCACCATCCCAAACCCAGAGCTCCTCCTTGCCACCTTTCTTGGATGCACTGTCTTCATTAAAACCATCACCAGGTCCTCTCAGCTATCTCCAGAATCTGATCGCTCCTCAGCCCTCTGTGGCCACCAGCACCTACCACCTGCATTTGCCTCCTCACTGGACTCCAAGTGTCCACCCGCACCCCCGACAGTCTGTTCCCCTACACGACAGACAGAGGGATCTGTTTAAAACATCAGCCCCTGAGATACTGCTGCTAAGAGTCTTCAATGCACCTGAAGTAAAATCTAGACTCTGTAGCCCCTGCCCTTTCTGTGTCACCGTCTCTTGTTCTGTTTCATTCCATTCAACCACACAGGTCTCCTTTCTGCTCTGCAGACAAGCCAAGCTCCTTCCTGCCACAGGGCCTTTGCACATGCTGTTCTGCCTAGCATCGCATCCCCCTATTCCTCCCAAAGCTGTCTCCTTCACCTGTTTCTGGCATAGCTTAAATGTCACCTCCTCAGAGAAGCCCTCCTTGACCACCTTAGGCCCCCTTCTGATCTCCCTTCATAAGCCTTTCCACAGTGTCTAACCTGATACTTTGTCTTCACCGTTTCCTCCACCCAGTTGTAAACTCCATGAGCGCACGGACATGGTCTTTTGTTTCATTCTCCCCCATTTCCCGAGCACCCCCCACGCCCGGCCTGGCACTCAGTAGGCGCTCAATAAATACGTGCTAACTGAATGGACACAGGAATTCCACTGCCTAGCAGTAACTTTCCAAAACCCTGCTGGCCTCATCCCCAGGCCTTGGGAGGGTCCCCAAGGACAGGGCGCGGCCGGTGGGGACCTTGCCGGGGCCGGGGTCCTTGGGCAGGATCCGGGAGACGCGCTCTGGCGGGTGGCGCTGCTCCTCGCCGAGGCTGCGGCGCAGGCGGCAGCGGTGCCAGCCTCGGCGGATCTCCGACTGCACCTGCAATTGGACCGCGTTCCGAGGCGCCGCCCAGCGCGCCTTTCCCAGCGCGGCCGCCAGAGGGCGCAGGCGGGCAGCGGGCGGGCTCTCCCTACCTCCTTGTTGATGAAGCAGTAGAGGATGCTGACCAGGAATCCCTGCCAGAGAAGGGCAGAGTTAAATCTGAGGTGGACGTAGGATTAGAACCACCTCCTTAATGCGTTCTGACCCTTACCCAGCACCACACCACGCGACTGCTTCCACTCTGGTGCTGTTACCCCTTGCCGTGCAATCGATTCGGACTCCCCCGGTCCTAGACTATTGCAATCCCCTTTTCCCTAGCTCCGGCTCCCACTCTCAACCTCGCAGCTTTGCTGAGCTATGCAGGGCAGAGTTAAGAACCGGAGTCTCTGGAAATAGGCTGCCTGGGTTTGAAACCTGCTTCCCCATTTCAGCAAGCTGCTTAGCCACTCCGTGCCTCAGTTTCCTCATCTGGAAAATGGAGTAATAATAGAGTGGTGGTTGTGGTAATTAATTGAGCTATTAGTAACATAAGGAGACTTGGTGATGCAAAGGTTAAGCACTCTGCTCCTAAACAAAATGTTGGCGTTTTGAACCCACCCACCTGCTCTTCGGGAGAAAGACCTGCCTGTCTGCTGCCGTAAAAATTACGGCCAAGAAAACCCTATGGGGCAGTTAAACTCTTGTCACACGGGGTCGTTATGGATTGGAATTGACGGCACCCAAGAACACCAATAACATTAATATACAAGAAGCTGGAGTGCCACGCACATATTGTTACCTATTCTCTTCCGTAGTCATGGAGTCGATTCCCACTCATGGTGACCCCATGTGTGTCAGAGTAGAACTGCACTTCATAGGGTTTTCAATGTCTTGGATCTTCCAAAAGTACATCGCTAGGCCTTTCTTCCAAGACGCCTGTGGATGGACTCCAACTGCCAACCTTTCAGTTAGTAACGGAGCACTTAACCATTTGCACCATCCAGGGTCTCCCAATCTTATTATTACTCCCCACCGTCTTGTTAAAATCTAACTCTGCTCAGAGCCCTGTCGGGGTTCCCGCCTCACTCAGAATCAAAGCCAAAGTCCTCCACAAGTTCCTGCACCATCTGCCCCCATCCCTTACAGCTCTGATCTCATTTCCCCTCACTCCTGCCGGCTCCCTCTGCTTCAGGCCCCCCAGCCCTCGTGTTTCTTCGGTCACACCAAGTACTCTCTGCCTCAGGGACTTTGCACTTCCTGTTCCTCTTCCTGGAACCTTTCCCCCAAATATCTGCCTGATGTTTCCCCTCACCTTCTCCAGCATCTCTTTCTCAGGAAAGCCTTCGCTGACCTCCTGTCTGAAACAGTAACCCCATCCTTCTCTTTTCTTGCTCTCCACCCCTCCCC